TCGGCCAATAAAGAATTATATTCTATTCTATTCTATTCTTTTCTGTTCTATTCTATTCTATTAGCACTTAGAGTTATATACCACTTGACAGTTCTTTACAGCTCTCTCCAAGCAGATTACAGAGTCAACCTATTGCCCACAACAATCTCGGTCCTCATTTTACTGAACTCAGAAGGATGGAAGGCTGAGTCAACCTTTAACAGTATTGTCTGTATTCCTATAAATATTCCAATAGTATCAATATAACTAAAGTTAGCAAAATATATTCAATTTAATTTATTTTCGATGAAATATATAGAATTATTGAAAGTATGTGGGAAATATTTCTGCCATGGCCAATGGATGATTGCCTTACAACATCGTACCATAAAAAGTTCCTATTTTCTTTTATGGAAATGTTGTGTAAAAGCACATGTTTTCAGGCTTTAAGTGTAGAAATGAACATTGTTTCAAAATCTCGTTTTCTACAATATAAATTCATGTAGAAAGAGTTTCTGTCATCACAGTTGCACTTTTGATTTACAGCATTAATTCCTTCATTTTAGTGGTGCATTAAACAACTTCATTCAAAATTAGCAACCTGTCAGTTTGGAACTATTTGGCTTTGTTGGCTCTTTCCAATGAGCCAATAACTACTTGATCAGCAGAGTGGTTTCATTTCTGCTCATTACAGAAGGTGATCGTAAAGCTTTCTATGAGAATTCCCAATGGAACATCAAGAAGAACAAGGAGTCCATTTTGCGGTTGAGGCAGGAGAATAAGAAATTGCATCAGAGATTGGCAGACCTCCTAGCGGTGAGCTTTGTGATGCTCTTCCTCCCTGCCTCAGTGAGCCCTTGTCAAATCATAATCACCAACTTCCTTTCCCTGTCTTTGGAATTGCTTCCCTTTTCTTGTGGGTTCATACAGTATGACATTGGAAAAGAAAAGCATAATGACTCTAATCTCATCTTCTCTTGGTAAGAGTATATCTGAGCTTTCTGCTCATTCCACTCGGGCTGTTCTGTTCAATAGCAATAGCACTTAGACTTATATATCGCTTCATAGTGCTTTACAGTCCTCTCTAAGTGGTTTACAGAGTCAGCATATTGTCTCCCCGCCCCCCAACAATCTGGGTCCTCATCAAATGGGTTTTCTAACAGTCTGCAATGCTTAGGGCAAATAGTTTTTCAGTTTTGCCAGATTGAAACATGTTACTGGCAAGTTCATTTGTCAAGCACCATAACTTCTGATTTCATTGACTATAAATGTGCAGATGCCAGATCAGAGTGGCAAAAATCCTGACAAGCATGAAATGGCGAAGAGAATCAGAGCGCAAAAAATGTTTCTCGGCATCTGAAGTTTGTCTGTACTTTTCTGCTCGGATCTGGTAGCTTAATACAAGTGACTGTTCCTGTCACTTTTGGAATATTGTAGCAGTTCTTTGCTTTTGTGTATGTATGCGTCTGTGTGTATGTCTGCATTTCCAAAAGTGACAGAAATAGCCATTTGCCTTTATTCCTTTTAGTATGTATGTATATATGTATGTATACGTACATACATACGCATGCACGCACGCACATATATAAGCTCTCTCCTGAAAATAAGTCCTCCCTGAAAATATTGCAATACAGCAGCAGCCAATTCTCAACAATTAAAGAAAATATTTATGTTAAAACGATTCAGAAAATTAAGAAAGATCTGGAAAATTGGAGGAAACTACAAATATCCTTAATGGAAAGAATTGCCATTATTAAAATGAATATACTACCAAAATTTTTATTTTTAATTCAAGTGGTGCCGATTAGCCTAGGGAATTTTTTTCCCCATAGATTTAAATAAATTAATTGCACAGTTTATTTGGTCAGGGAAAAAAACACGAATTTAATTAAAATTGTTACAAGACAGCAGAGAAAGAGGAGGATTTGGACTTCCCGATTGGGAGCTTTATCACCAAGCAGCAGCTTTCACCTGGATAAAGGACTGGATCAATTAAAAAAAACAGAAGATTATTAACAATAGAAGGTTATAATTTGGAATTGGGTTGGCACGCCTTTATCTGGGATGGGAAAGACAAGATTCATAGCTATTTCCAAAAACATTTAATTAGAAAAGCTCTACTACAAACTTGGTTAAAAATCAAAACAAAACATTATAATAAAATCCCAACCTGGCTATCCACCATGGAAGCTCTGATATACCCCAACGTATTGGACATAAACAAGATAATAAGATATAAAGACATATTAGACGACCAAGAAAGACTAAAAACAAGGCAAGAACTGAAAGACGAGGGAATAGATATTGGCTGGTGGCCCTATTTACAAATACAGGCAAGGTATAAAAAGGATCCTATAGGGTGCCACAAGAGCTGGATAAAATTTTACAGGGAACCGAAGAAAAATTGATTAAAAAAATATATCACTACTTATTAAAATTCAAAATGGAAGAAGAAACTGTGAAGGAAACGATGATAACATGGGCGATAAATTTTGGGTATAGTATAGAATTGGCGGAATGGGAAGAAAATTGGGAAATAAACTACAAATTAACGATGGCAATGGCTTATAGCGAGAACATGTACAAGATGTTCTACAGATGGCACCTTCCACAGCGAGAAATGCAAAAATGTTCCCGGAGTGTTCACCTATCTGCAGGAAATGCAACAAACAACATGGAACATACTACCATATGTGGTGGACGTGCACAGCTGCGAAAAAGTATTGGAAAAGAATAAAATCTTGGCTAGAGGAGATTACTAAACACAAAATTGCACTAAAACCCGAATTATTTTTGTTAGGGATTATAAAAGGAAATTATGAAAAAAATATTAGAAACTTAATTCTACACATAATTACGGGAGCGAAAATTACATTCGCTCAGAACTGGAAAAATAATTATACACCAACAGAAGAAAATGTAATTAAAAAAATATTGGAATGTGCAGAGATGGATAGGCTCACGAAAGAACTAAAAGAGAAAGAAGAATCTGAATGCTACTCCGCATGGGATTTATTGTACAATTGGCTAGAGGAAAGGAGGGGGGGGGAGAAGCAGGAAAGCAAAAAAGATATATGAAGTCATAGTTAAAAAAGATTTATTGGTATAGGTAAAACAGACACAACAGATAGGTAAAAAATGTAATGTCTTGCAAAGATGTAAAGTTTGTACAAACAAAATAAAATTTATTTTAAGAAAAGGAAAGAAGCATTTGTGTTGTTAAGTGACAAGCAAGCCAATCAGATACAATGGAAAGAGAACCAGTTTTTAGTGATATTATAAGCTGTAACTTTTTATTTTTTTTATCACAGAATTATTTGATATTTGGGATATATATACACACACACACATATACAATCTGATTGGCTTGCTTGTCACTTAATAACACAAATGCTTTTTTCCTAATGCTCTAGCAAGGTTTATTATCTCAAATACAAATTATGTAGGGGGAGAGCTTATTTTAACACATGCACTCAAAAGCCCAATTGGGCTTATTATCTGGGGAGGTCTTATTTTCAGGGAAATGGTATGTATGGACCAGATTACCTATTCTTATTCAACGAAAAGTAATACTGAAACCCAGCCAATAATGGTATTTCTTTTTTCAAAAAAAAATGGATTTAGATTACCTTCACATAATGACTATAATTGTTTTGGGGTGTTGTTTTTTTTCCAGGGAGAGGAAAAAGTAATTAAGGCTGCATTCCAAGAACATCCAAATGAACAAGGAGCTGTGAAAAATAAAAGTGGGGAGGTAATTGATCATGAAAACATTTCTGAAATTCATTGCTAGATTTTTAAAAACTGGCATTTAGGGAGTTGGGATTTCAGGGTTAAAGAAGTTTGAGAATTCTAGGCTAACTCAAGTTAACATGCTATGGTTCTTTTATGACTTGTGGACTTCAATTCTCAGAATTTCTGGTCCAGTATGTCTGACTCAGGAATTTGGGATCTGAAATCCACAAGTCATAAAGGGCTATATTTCCCCACCTCTGCTCTAATGAATACCAGGGGACTTATTTCTGAAAATGTATATAGAATTCTAGCCTTAGATGGAATCTTAACATTAGGTTATTCACAAAAAAGGGCAAACCCCAGGGCTATACATTACAAGATTATGCTTTTGAATTAAACTACCATATGCCTGGTATTGTTTTTGACCATATGAACTCCAAAACTTCAAATTCAACAAACAATAATCAGGCTAGATGATATCATCATACCCATCAATTTTGAAAGGTTTGTGCCTTCAATTTGTTTCTATATACAATTATATGGTAGTTTTAATTTTTAAAGGTCTATTTGAATAACAGCCTACTTTAAAGTCCACTTTATACTTCATGAATTTGTTGATTGGTAAACGTTTTTCTCTAAATATCTTGCTTTTAGAGATCTTTGTTTTAAGGAGAAAACAAATATTTTCAGCAATGGCATTCAATTTTTGAATTATTCTTCCTAGTACACTGGGGATATGCTAACACTGGCACCTTTAAACCTTTTTGGAGTATAACAAAATATCTTAATCAATTGGCATAAAATGAAGTCCTACACACTTCAGGCTCACCTGCTTCCTTTGCTTCTACCAGAACTAGAAAGAAAAGTTTTAAAGTTTTATTCCGTTTTAGACTGCCTGCCAATAAATTCTTCATTTGAACAAGAAATATTACTGTCAAGAAACCAGCCCTGTCTTCAAACTGATCGCATTCTAATCAGAAAGAAGTAATTAGTTTTAGAGAATAAGGAATTCATCTAGCTGTTTGTAACATGTGGGTTTATCTTACTTTTGCTTTTTCTAAAAAAATTTTTTTTAACATATTTTAATTGTGTTAAATGAGGAAAATTAAAACTAATGGAATTGAAAGGAAAAACTGCCTTCATTTTATTAAAAAAAATATTTTTCAGGCTCTGCAGTATCT